CTATAGAACAGTTATTAATTTCATTGTTTAAGAAAAATAAAGAAAAAAAAAAGTACAATATGTAGCCTGTGTTCTCACTAAAACTAATGTTTGTAGTAATAATAAATAATAATACAAGGAGATGGAGATTAACAGTATGTGGGGAATAAAGACTGAGACTATACCAATAGTAATCAGAGTACTGGGCCTCATGAGAAAAAGAATGGACAATTTTACTAACAGTGTCCCAGATATCAACAACATACAAATTGCCCAGAAAGATCCCCCTACTAGGAACATCCCATACACTAAGAAAAGTGCTAGGAATTAAATGACACTTCTCCTATAGGGCATTAGGACCATAGTTTGGACCTCGTTCTACAGGATACAACCAGAAAACATAACACACAATATATATATATATATATATATATATATATATATATATATATATATATATATATATATATATTTAAAACTAACCATGCTTCAAATCAGCATCAGAAATAAGTGCAAAAATCATAGTTTGTCTTATGAAGAATTTTATTCAAGAAGAAACCATACAAAAAAAAATTCAATAGGAACAAATCAACGTAAAACAAATTTATAGAAAAATAGGATTCTTAACAAAAAGTTATTTTATTAAAAACACATTTTCACGTTATTTTAGACTTTAATGTTTGGATACTTTGGTCTTTGATTTTAGCTTCATTTGGTTTTGAATAAAATAGTTTTAAAAATCAGGTATTTGGTTTTTACAGACATTCTTCTCAAGGTTACAAATAGTCTCATTAGCAGACCCTCAAACAATTGACTGAATTACATAAGATATATACCAAATTTTTTTTTTTTTTAGTTACTATGAAAATAATTTTGGTTAGTGGGCATCATTTGGTATATCAACCAAAAAGATTACATTCATAATATTTAATGTGTAAAACTGTAACTTAAAGAAATATATATATATATATATATATATATATAAAAGTGAACATTGAAGTCAAGACTCGGAGGCGACAAGCTGTTTCATGCTGAATGCAATCGTCAGGCTGCCTGATTGCGTCCAGCATGAAACAGCCTGTTTGCCTCTGAGTGTTGACTTCAATGTTCACTTTATATTTATATATAGACTATCTTCGATATTGAGCACTTTATCCCATAAATATAGCACACCTTAAAACTATATTTCTTCATATATATATATATATATATATATATATATATATATATATATATATATATATATATATATACACACATATTTTTTGTTTCAAGAAAAACTTAAAATGACCATGCCTGAAAAGAAAGGAAGGGGTGGGGTACAATTATTAGTCATGTATAATGATTATATATATATATATATATATATATATATATATATATATATATATATATATATATATTGGACATACCACTACATACCTATCAAGAAAAATCATGTTACATCTCTCTGACCATAGCTCAATTAGGACTCATTTAAACACACATGGAAATCTATCAAACTCCATCTGCAACATATTTGTAGAAAATACGAGTATAATGGCCTCATTCACATGTTAAAAAAAAAAAATAAAAAACTAAATATCATGGAGGCACTAATAATAAAAAAGCCAATGCTCAATAACATCAACTACTATGAACATGGCCACAATGTGCAAACTGTTTGGAAAAAAAATATTCTCATTACTCTAGAAACATAATAAATAAAAAAAAAAAAAAAAAAAAAATCCACACATTCAGTTAAAAATAAAAAAGTTAAAAAAAAAAAAAAATCTTCTTCAGAATGGCTAATAGAATAGCTGAAAGTGTTCAAATATATAAAACAGTGGAATAGTAATGTCATGCCAAATTAGCTATGCCATTTTAGTGGAGTAACAAATTCTATGCCTGCCCCACTTGAATAATTCCAGTAACCAAAATGAAGATTGTATTTAACATAGTGATTTTATACAGGCTTCAAGCACCAGAAGTCACTTTTTTGTATTTAATGATCTTGATAATGAATAGGTGTGTGCGACCAGAAGCATGTTTGAGAATTATTTACACATACTGAATCCAGTCATGTGTACTTTTGAACAGAAAGAAATTATTTAAGGAAAAAAAGAATTCTTTCTTTGATGACTTTTAATGATTTTATATGCAAGGGTCAGCTGGCAAGTTCATAAGTTGACGGAGATATAAATGTAAGCAGATACACTAATTGGTACACTTGCTAGTCATTTAGACTACCAACTGGTGCATCTATTTACATTTATATCTTGGTCAGCCGACCATCGTATTTCAGTGAATTACATTTTCCAGCTGTTGTATTCTGGTACACTTGCAGGTCTTTCAGTCTCCCAACTGGTGCATTTACTTACACTGATATATTAGTCAGCCAATGAACTTGTCAGCCAAATTACATACACACATTATATATGACAAAATGATATATAATTTTATATATTTACACTATTTACATTGTTCGGACTGTTGTCCTCATTTTTGTTGTCATATTCACAATGTTCTGGCTGTTATATGCTCCAATCTTCTTCAGGTGATTGGAATTTTCATCCACCAGAGTAGATTGGCATGGCATTGAAATAAAGGGTTCAATTCCAATCACCTGAAAAAGACTGGAACGTATAACGTATAACAGTCGAAACATCATGATTATGACAACAGTCAGAACAATGTAAATAGTTAAACTGCCTCATCTCAGAAATTTATATCGAGAATTTTAGAGGGAAAAAATTATGACAAGTGGAAACACTTTGTCCTTTACAAATTCAACAGACTAAATTGATGTTTACATTGATGCAACTATATATGCACACAAAGGAAAGGGGGGGACACCACTGAGAATTTTAAATTTAACCTTTTTTTTTTTTCCAGTATGAATTTTCTGTATATAATCTAGCTGATTTTTATTAGTTTTTTTTGTTTATGTTTCCGTCACTTTTGTTATTAAATATCCAACATTGTGATAATAGGAGATATAACAAGAAAGGTGAAATGTAAAAAACCTGGACACATATTTACGGTGGATGATATGACAATTAAAGAACTTTCTAAACATTCTTGTCTTGGCAAATTGAGTTCTTTTTTTTAATTAGAGTAGCATTGGAATTATACTCCATTTGAACCAACCTTATACTCATGTTATAAAATTGGGTATATGATCCCAAAAGAGTTATAAATTATTGACATTTAGAGAATGTTCCTGAAAGCATAGTGTATTGGAAAATATATCTGATTTTGCTTAAGCCTACATGTTGAAATGCATAATCAGATATATTTTTGAATGCACTATACTTTCATGAACATTCTCCAATTCTCAATATATACATATATATATATATATATATATATATATATATATATATATATATATAAAAATACTAATTGATAATTGGTAGAGATAATTCAAAGGAGGACATAAATCCAAAGAGCCCTGAGTGTAAATAACAGAGCAATATAATAATAAGTAAAGAAAATCCTTAAAAATCCATTTTGGTGATAATTTATTTGATGAATATATTTAAATATTCATTTCTTCAGACCGAAGGTTTTTTTCCTTTTGTCTTTGCCTTTCTAAAAAACTTTGTTTGAAGAGATGAATATTTAAATATATTTGTGAAATTAATTATAACCGAAATGGACTTTTAAGGATTTTCTTTATTATTATATATATATATATATATATATATATATATATATATATATATATATATATAGTAGGTGTAAACTTTCAAATATAAATAAAATATTTGTAAAGACAATATAAATAAACGGGGAAAACTTTATGGCAACACATTTTGTTCATTGAGAAACTTTATCAATATATGTGCAGAAATTTTATTTGGTATCCTTAATTTATTCACAAAAGTAACATTGAGAAAAATAAAAAAAAAAACATTAAAATTTCAAATTTTGAATTTGGGAATGCTGTAAAAAAATTTAAATTCAAAATTTTAAAAAGTATTTTTTTTCTCCATGTTACTTTGGTCATATATAATGAGCAAAGAAGGAGAATTTGGCACTCACAAGATGTACTGAAGGCTAGAGGGACAAAAGGAAGCAACTAATAACCTACATAACAAGCTGGTAAATAAATGTAAATAAATGGCAGGACAGAGACTGGGAGAGATGTTAAAAAAAACTAAACTTGCTAAGAGCGGCAAAGGATAGGAAATAGGGGAGAGCCATGATTCTCAGCAACTTGAAGGGACACATTACATAGGAAAGAAATGGTACCAGTACTACCATTATGAAATTTAAAAAATCCTGAATCCTTAAAAGATTCCAAATAAGATACTGTGTCCCTGTGGCTACAAACTCCTATCTGCAGAGACTGGATTAACACATGGGGAGCAAGAGGGAATGATTGTGGATGAGGGGGAGATGGGTTGCAGGAGGAGGAGATGAGGGAAAGGTTAAGAGGAGGAGGAGATGAGGGAAAGGTTAAGAGGAGGAGGAGATGAGGGAAAGGTTAAGAGGAGGAGGAGATGAGGGAAAGGTTAAGAGGAGGAGGAGATGAGGGAAAGGTTAAGAGGAGGAGGAGATGAGGGAAAGGTTAAGAGGAGGAGGAGATGAGGGAAAGGTTAAGAGGAGGAGGAGATGAGGGAAAGGTTAAGAGGAGGAGGAGGAGATGAGGAAAAGGTTAAGAGGAGGAGGAGATGAGGGAAAGGTTAAGAGGAGGAGGAGATGAGGGAAGGTTAAGAGGAGGAGGAGATTAGAGAAAGGTTAAGAGGAGGAGGAGATTAGAGAAAGGTTAGGAGGAGGAGGAGATTAGAGAAAGGTTAGGAGGAGGAAATGAGGGAAGGGACAGGAAAAGGAGATGAGAGAAGGGGAGGAGGTTGGGGAGGAGAAGGAGGATCAGGAGAAAGGTTGTAATGAATAACAAAATTGTTCGACCTTTGATTAGGAGTTATAACAAAAACAAGTTTAACTCTTCCCAAAAAATTCTCCAAGCAATTAGATAACTATTCGTTCTGCAATCTTAGACACAAGATTCAGCATTACGGATGCCTGCTTTTTACTCGTCTCCAAGACTTCCTCATGATTGGCTTGCAGGTCAGAATCATATTCCAAAATACACTTATTGGTGATCAATGATAATCCAAGGATTTGCATAGAAGCATGACAAGCAACAATTACTTCAGGACAGGTACTCATGCCTGAAATAAAAATAAACAATTTATTAGCATTGTTCCAAGTGTGAATATAATTATTGGTATAACAAATCTTCATGTTTTAACAAGTTTTCTCAATTACAAAGTGAGGAGTTATTTATATATTTCACTTTCATATGAATATGGAGTCTGCTGTTATCATCTCATCTACAATCAAACAGACTTTTATTTCTTTGTTTATATATGAGGAATAAGTCAGAAAAAAAAACTACAGCACCTTCCTCAGTATGCTCATTGAACCAAGAAAAACAGGTCTCAATTCTTTCTGAAATTTCCCAAATATATTGTCTCAATAGGACTCACATGGATTATAGCAACAGATTACTGCATATATATATATATATATATATATATATAGATAGATAGATAGATGTTAGCTCTATGATATTGAGTGCTTTCTAATAAGTACCGCGCATATAATATATAAATAATTATATATATATATATATATATACACACACACTTTTCACATATATATATATGTGTGTGTGTGTGTGTGTTTCATTGAATAATACAGAAATTGTTAGAAATGCAAAATACCATTAAATGTTTTTTATATGCACTTCAATACATTGCTGCTACACTTATTATAAATTTTGTTGAGTGGTTGATTTGGATATAGAGAGCCTCAAGAAGTTGAAGTTTTTGTTTATTATTTTCATGGTGTAGTATATTGGTGTCGTCAACAACTTTTCCCCCGTATTAAAATTTTCAGAATAACTATAAGAGTGTGTTCACCTGTGTTTTTTTTAAAAATCACCATCACATAAAATGCAGATTTTATTGCAGTTGTGACAATAAGTTTCTTTAATTTACCCCTGAAGATGATCTTGAAAAAGATCGAAAGTACTTGGCTTAGAAAAAACTACACCATCTCCCTTGATGAATTTCATCTCAACATCAAGAAAATGATTAGACAACTGGAAAGGATCAGTATAAAAATAAGTAGAAACAATATGTCTATATTATTCAATGAAACATGTCTAAATGAAGATGTGATGATTTCAAAAATAGTTTTACAATGTGAATGTCAAAGTAAACTATGGAGGATGCTAAGTGATGTAATTTAATGCCTAGTAAACAAAAGTAAGTAAATGTTATTGCTGTTGAATTTTATATTTTATTTGCCAACATGCATGACCATATTTTTTTTTTAAATTGAAAGGAAACAGTTCAATCAAATCTTCTATTATTTAAAATACATAATTTATCAACATTATGAAATGGGCAAAGTCCAACAATTATTTTAAGACATTTTTATGTTTAACATTCTTTTTATAGATACAAATATTTAAGTAAATGCTCTTATTTAATACTGTTTATTATAAACAGAGCATTTACTTAAATATTTGTATCTATAAAAAGAATGTTAAACATAAAAATGTCTTAAAATAATTTATCAAATAAAAATAAAATAAATAATAATTACATTAATAATAAAAGTAAATAAATATATATAAACAAATAAGAAAATAAAAAATTCAACAATAAGAACATTTATTTATTTACCAGACATTAAATTATATTACTTAGCATGTTCCATAGTTTATCTTGACTTTCACGATTAGCCTTAAGATTATTTTTGAGTATTCTTAAATTTAAAAATTCTAAAAACCTAACAATATTTTTTTTTTAATTCTGTTTATAAAATAAAATCCTCACATTCAACAGATGACAAAACGCCTTGGTAAAAAAAAAAAATTTCCTTTTGTTTTTATTCCTATTTAACAAGTGAGGAAAAATGGGTTACATGTGAATGCAAAAGGCAGTGACTTGACAAACATAAATTACCACAACCAATCAAAAGCTGAGCTCCACAGATGAAAGGTGATGTGATTGTGAAAGTACTATTCTTAAAATGCAACAAAACAATAAATGCACATTTATATGTCCAGCAGCTGGAACAATTTCATAAAAGTTTGATTGAAAATCATCCTTCATTCCTCAATAGAAAACATGTTCTCTTCCATGACAATGCAAGAATAACACAGGAAGACATTATCAGTTGATTAGTTCTACCCCAGCCACCATATTCCCCTGACTTTACAACATTTGATTATAACTTTTTTTGATTGCTGGAATGTTAATTGATTGCTTTTTTTTTTATGGCCTATCAATATTTTTGGACTATCTAAAGCTGAAACATATTTAGACTTGTAAGAATAATTCTTTTGTTTGTGACTAAACAAAATTGACAATTTTTTCTTGATTGCTGCAAAATGCTTCGATGTGGAAAGCTTTCTCAAAAGAGAACCAGATTCAAGAGTTTGAAAACATTTTCATGTCGAAACCTATGGATTTTACTGAGAACGATGAGCAGCAAGTCAGCGAAAAGAACAGTGAATATATAATTATACTACATGTTTTGGAAGAATAAAGTTGATAAAAGAAAATGGAAATTATTTACAACTCAACCTAGTATATATATATATATATATATATATATATATATATATATATATATATATATATATATATATGAAAATATATAGAAAATAGGAAGGAACTGGTTAGGTAAATAGTCCAAAGTTCCTTAGTATTTTTTTTTATTATTTTTAAAAATAGTGCTCGATACAAAAGTAGAGCATAAATATAATTATTTATTTAAAAATATGATTCCAAGTCGCTACATAAGAGGTCTCATGTTTCAAAAAACAAGAGCCGAAAACTTCAATATAATCCTTTAAATTAAATTGAGTTGAAATTAAAAAGGGCTCCGCTCCATCTTCAAGCAGATTTTTTGTTGGAATAACGTATATCTGAAATTTACTTGTTTTAAAAATTGAAATCAAAATCACCATGGTAACAGCTAGGGCTTCTGAATTGTCTAAAATGGGTAGGCGAGTGTAGGGTGTTAATGATGAGTGGCGGTATAGAGATACTTTCAAGGTGTCAAGTCGGGGAAGGTGAGGGTGTTAAAAAAACGAAGATGTATTAAGCTTTCGTCAAGTTGGCTTGTCTATGGAGATTTATTTATTTATTTTATTTTATTTTATTATGAAAGGGAATTGTGCATATAAAAAAAAACTTTCGTGGCTTTTGTTTTTTGACGACTTCATAAAAAGGGTTATCTTTTATGTAAGGTATTTAAACTACTAATTTGGGCTATGGATTATGAAGGGTGTTATGTTTGTATGTAAGTTTGTAGTTAATAATTTCTACTATGAATCTGATGATTGGGTTATTCGTTAAACAAGTTATATAAATTTTTTATTTCAAACCAAAAATCTGATGATGCCTACAAAAAACCGTTAACTCGTGTCTATTATTTAATAGATTATTATTATTTAGAAGTTTAATAATGTGTAATTTTCATGGAGGCACAAAGGGCATGGGTCATCCCAAGCTTTACATATTCTAGCCTTGTCAAAAGCTTGGGATGAAAAAGATCCTTGTTTCTATAAATTTCTGCTGCATTAGTTCTTATTTTTACTACAAGCTTTCGTCTGTTCCTACAGACATCTTCAGGTATGGAATAGATGTTGTTCTTGTTTTTCTCTCAGTAATAAGAGGACAACGAAAATATATGTATTGTTGTATCCGAAAATGCTATTGGAAATGAGTTATTGCTTTTGGAGCGTGCAGTAGCAACGCTGAGTTTGATTTTAAATTTTTACAGTTGTGCGTTCTTGTACAAATATGGTGATAAGCGAATTTTTTACTGGTAAATTTTCTGTCAAAGTGGCATGAACTATATTGTTCAATAATTACAGTAATGTCGCACTTATTATCCAAAATCGCACTTGGATCAGTTATTTTAATTTCGATAAACGTGCAATCAATTTACAAATTCATGAATTATTCACACAAAAACAAATGCAAAGGTTAATGATTTTATATTATTTGAATTGTTTGCGACAATGGATTTCTCGCCAATTAAATGTCTGAAAATGAAACATTTTTTCCAAAATAATTGGCAGGGAATGGGTTAATGTGTAAATAATAAAAAATGCTGTTTATGTGTATTAAAAAGCACTTTTAAATGCATTTAAAATAGAGCACTCTTAAATATATTAGAAAAGGAATATATATATATATATATATATATATATATATATATATATTTTGTATGAGAAACATTTTTTTTTTTGACCATTAACAACTCAGTAGACATTTTGCGATTATCAAATGGCTGGGAATTTGATTTAGGTCAAGGGAATCATGAAAAAAGAACAATATCATTCAATTTTGCAAAATCTTGCTACACCAACTGGTTTACACATAACTGGAAAAAAAATTTGTCTTTCAACAAGACAACAATCCAAAATATTTGTCAAAATTAACTTGAGTCCAAAACAAAAAAAAAATCTTTTTGAAAATATGATTTTGCAGCCTTAATCTCCTGACCTCTCTTCCATTAAATTAATATAGGATAATAGAAGAGTTTAAACAGAATATCCAGAGTTAGTGAGCTTTGTCAATGCTTGTAGAATGCTTGGGTAGGTTTGCTAGAAAGAATACTAACAAATTGTAAAGCAGTAGTTAAACAGGTGGTGGTTTTATTGACAAAAACAAAATATGATGCTGTTGTATGATAATTCTTTTGTGTTAAGGGCTTAACTTTTGTCAAAATAAATGCAAATACACTGTACTTACTGAAATTTTATTTTTTTTACTTTAAAAAGATACAAAAACATCTCATTTCAATATGTTTTTTAAAGAAATGAAGGGTGGGTCTAAATTTTTTATCTGTAGAGTGTGTGTGTGTACATATATATATATATATATATACACATACATAAAATGTGATAAAAATATAGTTTAAAGGTATGCTATATTTATAGGTTAAAGTGCTCATTATCAGGGTAAGTATATATGTAAATATAAAAGTGGACATTGATGTCAGTATCCAGTGATGAGTCTGTTTCATGCTTAAACACAATTTTCAGGCCCCCATATATATATATATATATATAGTGGACTCTCCTGTTATATTCGACAAATGAGGGTCAAGCAGTTCAGTTCTTAGGAACCGACAGCCAGACACCAGCATATATGACTTGATTATAGTGGTGAAGGCTTTGTGCAGAACCAACCACACTTTCTGAAGGACCGAATACAGAGACATGGTGCACTATGTGCCACAAGGTCCCCAAACAACCTTCTGCATGTTTTAAATTTAGAGTTGTCCTTCTCCTAGACCAGTTGCTATCCAAGGCTATAGAACCCAGTCTGTCCTACTATTTACCCATATTTGGGGGGAGAAGAGGATTAATACCTTTGGCAAGGGTATTAGTACGTAAGTGAATGTAATGGATTCGACTGGAATTCGAACTCAGCTATCCAATTCCTCAATCTGTGTCACTATCCACTATTCCACCATGCCTCCTATATACATATATATATATATAAATAAATGAACCAAGGACGGTACATTTCTGATAGAGATTTTATCAACTTACCAACAGCATCAGCACCAGCATTTCTCAGGAAACGGCACTCAGTAACAGTTTCATAACAAGGTCCTCCAAGAGAACAATAAACACCTTCCCTCAAATATTTATTGTAGCCAAGTTCTTCAGCAACAGCTTTAGCCAATTTTCGGTATTCTCTGTTATATGCCTTTGACAGGGGGGGAAATCTTGGCCCAAACCTGCAATGAAAAATTACCCACAATGATTGGTCAAACAGTAGAACAATAATCTATAATAAATAGGTATGTACCTATGTATATAATAATAGGTATATAATATATATTAAATAAGTATGTACCCACATACCATATGTAGAGGGACCAATTGTCCGTTTCAAATTTTCCTTAATTCCGTTTCAGGGAATTACATTTTTTTTCTATTTTCAGTATAGAATTCCATTCCCCACAGTTTTCAGTATAGAACTCTGTTTTTGCTTCATTATAATACTTAGTAAGAAAGTGTAACATTATGTAAATATTAAAATGAGAAAATAAAATTATTAAAATTTTTTAAAAATTTCTAATTCATAAAATTTGGCTTTCTGTAATGACAAACTGCACCCAACGTCTGTCACTATGTGGAATAGGAATTTAGTCCACCATTTTTTTTTTCTTTATAAAACTTGGTTGCTAAATACTGTAAACTGTAGGGAGACAGTAGGTAATATGGATGCATTAAAACATTACCGACTTTACACTTTACTGTCAGTCAGATGAGTAATTTAGGAAAGGCAAACATTGTAACAGATAAAAATGGCAGTTGGCAAATCTAATTGTTCAAAATAAGAAAATTTCCATTTCAAGTAAGCCATTTTGTTTTTCCATTTTCACAGAAAATAAGCCCCCTCTACATATGCAATAGTATCTCTGACGGCATCCACTATTTATATTTCATGAAAAACATCTGAAATTTTCCAGGTTTTCCTATTTGAATTTTCTGATGAATCTTAATTCTTAAGTTAAAACGATTGAATAAGCTCATAGCAAGTTCAACGACAATAAAATATCTATAGAAATTCCTCTATCCCTGCATATATAGCAATAACTAGCATAATAAGGGAGTTCAAATGAAAAGATTTGAAACAGACATTAAACATTATCTTCCTTTCTTTCTTTCTTTCATTTCCTCACTGAAACTAAGTAGCATCTCTGATATGTCTTTTTCTTGCACAAGTCCATCTTTCAAATCTATAAATCAACCATTCGCCTTGCATGGAATACTGCTGTCATATATGGTCTGGAGCCCCCAATGTTCATCTTAAGGTCCTCAACAAAATCCAGAGACAGATATGCAATGTAATTGGTTCTGATCTGGTATCTCACCTACAGTCACTCTCTCGCAGAAATTTTACAGTAAAAAATTTTATATTTTTATTTTTTAATCTATTTATTTATGAATGACAGAAAAATTCAATGTACTTTAAAAAAATATGTGGTTGTTCTGTTAAAGCAAAAGAAATTATTCATAAAAAAATTAATTTGATATTTAATATCATTATTGTTGAAGAACACTAAAATATTTAATTTATATTAACTTTTTATTTTTATGTGATAAAATTCTTAATGTCACTTGTGAATTTTGCACTGAAAAATTTTGTAAGTTCAAATAAAATAAACAAACATTACTTACTTCTGTATCTTGAATAATAAACTTGACTTAATCCAAAGGTAAAAAGTAAAAATTTCTTTAATAAGAAAAATTAATTTCTTAATCCAATTCCAGCAACAAAGTTTTGCATGTTGACAGTTGGTCCCCAGTGTCTGACGAGCTACATGTGCTGTGTAGGCCTGAGTTAAGAATCACCTTGATTAAAACCCAAATACTGATCTCATTGTCTTCTTTTAAGAAAACAATTTCATGCCTTAATTTAAAAAAAAAAAGAGAGAGAGAAGACTATTTACCCCACTGTACATCCATTCTTAAGGCAACATAGGAAAAAAATTGAATACGTTTTTTTTTTCTTTTCTTACCGTTCATCATTTGGTCCTTTCAATGGGTTTATTCCTACAAACCCTGGAAAATTCAATTGGTCCTTAATAATCATGAAATCTCCCACATTGAAATCTTGGTTGAGTCCTCCAGCTGCATTGGTGACAATTAAGGCTTTTACTCCCAATAATTTCATCACTCGAACTGGCAAGGTGGCCTGCAACACAAACTTCATCCAATTAATTCTTGCTGAAAGACCCAGCGGGTCTCATTAAATTCCAAACTTTATTCACACTGTATTCTTTCTGACAAGCTCCAAGCAGGTATGAATAGTTTTGTTTCTACCTTGGAAAATGACAGATACAACATTGGCCATCTTCAATCATTCCTGTGTTCACAGGTTATTTCAATCTATTTACAAGTCTGACACAAGAACATAAGTATAACAAACTGCCTACACCTCCAAACTCAGATGTGTATTTATATGTTAATACCATATATAGATATTTACAGAGCTTGGTACACAAGAGTGACACATTCCATGAACAGATAACCCCTAATACTTGCAATGTTTTACAAATATAACTTGTTAAACATAGGTCTCCAGCAGCCATCAGTCCCCACCATAATATTATACAGGACTCACTGCAAAGACTCAAAATTGTAGGAGCCATTATAATGCAAAATATATATATATATATATATATATATATATATATATATATAATATTGTTGTAATGGAATGTCCTACACTCCCTATCGCCTATGTGAACTGACTATATCAGTAGCTATATATAGTGAGCACAGGATATACCTGGCGGAGATTTGTCTCCAGCTAAGCTAGTCGAACTCTCTGCCTTCGGGCAGAGAGGAACCCAGATGAGGCTATGGCGAAGGGCAGAGTCTCGTCTGGGTTGGTAGATAGCTACCCGACCCCATTTTTTAGGGGGTCTACAGGGAATTTTTGCCTGAATCTGCAGGCTCAGTTTTTCCCTGCATTAAAAATGGCCTTGTGCCACATCCTGCCTCGCAGAGAGGTAAGGTAAATAATCTTGCTTCGGGAATTACTAGCCTGCCACCCGATTCCCTGTCTTTCAATAGTGCATTCTCTTTCACAATAAACCTCTCTCTACATGCGTGTTGCTGTTCCTTCACTCAAGTACCATCTTTGCCTGTTTGTAACCTCTTTAAGGATACAACACACACACACACACATATATATATATATATATATATGAAGAAATATAGTCTTAAGATGTGTTATATTTATGGGATAAAGTGCTCAATATCAGAGGCCTGACGATTGCATCTAGCATGAAACAGGCTGTCACCTCTAAGTGTTGACTTCTATGTTCACTTTTTTTATATATATATATATATACACACACTGGAGTAAATGGATTTTCATAGAAGCTAAAAAAAATAAATAAATAAATACTTCAATTATCATTCTGCATCTTATAAGACAATTTTTTGTGTTTTCAGATACTTGACTAATACAAAAACACAACTTTTTGATACATTGCTCAGGCACTTTGAATTCATGCACATGTAAATCAATATATTGCAAATAACCAAAATAATATTGTTGTGGGTTATACTGATGATACATACGGCCTAGTCTGAATGTACTTTTTTATATATATATATATATATATATATATATATATATATATGTGTGTGTGTGTGTGTGTGTGTGTAATTTTGTTTGGTGGTTAAAAAGACATCATCAGCCCCACCACAGAAATATATAAATTACAAACAAACCATATACAAGATACAGCACAATAAGTGTAAACAAAAACCATAAAAGGCTTTTATATATATATATTCAGAGAAATGTTTGTGTATTTCAAAGCACATATACAGCGATAAAAAGTTTCTGCTTATCTGGTAGGAGCCACATAGTCTGTCAGACTGCTGTCCCGAGGCATCTACTTTGTTTGGCCATCAAAGGTAAAAAGAGAGAAAATTTGATTTCTGTATCAATTGGCAGCAAAAACACCTATTCTGTTGCATAATTGGAGTTTCAATATTTATTTATTTTATAATCTAATTTTTTCTTTATTTATTGTTATCATTCTTGTCTATATTTTAATTTTATAACTCAACTTTTAATTTTTCTTTTATTATTAATTATTTATTATTTTGGTTTCATACTCCTACATAGTCTAGTACTAAGGGTCAGAGGTTGTTTAGTGATTTATTTGTTGCTATCACTACAATATTAACACAAGACAATTTTTTATGGACTATTATCATCATCTTCATATTCACAATATTTCAGTCTTCTTCGGGTGATTAGAATTTCAAACCAAACCTTTCATTTCATCCACCAGGGTGGGTTATTCTAGTTCCAGATGTCTCAGTTATTTCCCTTTAACTCAATTCTTCAAGTTTTTTGGTTCATCACTGTTGTAGCCTGGTATTGAACTCTCAAACTCTTTGGTTCTAGTCACTGGATTTAACCAATGCCTTTATCCACTGTCCTTGAGGACATCTGTGTATGAATTTCTGGGACTTATAAACCAAATTTCTCAGCAACTATTTTTACCAGTACTCATATTGCAATTTTTCTGTTATTATTATTGCATATTTTTTTACCAGAGCTTATATTGCAAATTTTTGTGTTATGTTATTCATTGCTTTTCTCTGGCACACCTTATTACTGGTTCCCACATTGTATAGACAGATACTGAATTATATTATTGTTGTAACCTAGGGAAGGTTACTGAATAGAATAATCAGACAAAGCACTCCTTATTACTGGTTCCCATATTGTATTCATTTCTATGGTTGGTCAGCTCAGAAGATTTTTGTGGACTAGCATATGTGCTGATTCCTTAAGTTTTTGTATTTTCCAGTGATGTTCTCTATGTATTATTTCAACCTCATCCCACAGGAGGTGGCAGTCTCTCTTTTCTCTCCATATATGGTCAGCTATGCCTGATTTTTCTATTTCCCTTCATGTTACCACTTTACGATGTTCTTACAGTCTTAAGATGAGGGGAGGGCAGTTTCTCCTTTATATTTCTTACCACAGCTGCACAGGATGGTATACACACAATCTTTAGTTATGTTCTCCTCTATAGGTGGTCTTACTCAGAGGAGATGTCTTTTCTATAAATATTTTCATGGCAACTGCTCTTACGAGTTTTTTCCCCTGTTGCCCAAACTACATGAATTTAAGCATGCTACTAGATTGGCAACTAGGTCCCACTGTTTTACTGTTGAAATAGCTAAATGTAAGCACCACTTCTACTCCAACAGTTTCTTTTCTCACACTTCCCACCTGTGGAAATCCATTCTGTTTTCTTGCTTCCCTGATAACTACAATCTTCAAATATTTAAATGCAATGTCAATCACCATCTACTATTTTAAATCCCCTTCGTCTTTTGCCCTTTCTTCAATCCTACTCAGTCTTCTCTTTCATTTTCACTCCTGTAAACCCCTGCATACTTGCTTGGGGTGAAATGATAAAAAAAAAAAAAAACTGAGTGATAACTAGTTAGCCGATACTATATGAATTTCTCCCCTTTTGGGGATTTGGTTTGTTTTGCAGCATATCAATCTCAATGGGTTATTTAACGCTGATAAAATTTTTGTATTGCTGGTAATATTTTTTCTTCAAAAATCTATTGCTGGTAATAATGTATTTCCAGTAATAATTTTTTACAAAACAGTATTTCTGATATTAAAACCTATTTTTACACTTTCATAATGTTTTGACCCCAGTTTAGGGGTTAACTATTTGCCCAAAGCTGGAACCCTAACAGGTGCTACCACCCTAGGTCAGGGTGGACCTGGGAACACCAGCAATTAAGAGGTGGTTCGATGCACCTCAAAACTTCCTGATTAGAGGCCTTGCTGTTGGATGTAGTTTATCGTCTTACCCTGGACGCGGATTTAGTTTATCATCATACCCAGAACGGCCTCTTTTTTTCTTTTTGTATTGCCAATTAGTTTTCTTCTCGTCTCTTAATTGCTTAAAAAAAAAGTAAACATTACATTTACAAGATCCAGTTAATTAATCCTTAAATTTACAAAATGATATTGAAACATCTCAATTACTAGATTCTAAAGAGATTATTAAATTTACATTTTGTGTCTTTATAATGGCAGTTCAAGGAGTGATGAGAAAACATGCCAAAGTTTTAAAAATGCCTAAAAATTTGAATGCAGAAAAGAATTTTTCTTTTAATACAGATTAGCTTTTGGCTGTTATCTCTTAAAGAAAACCAGAATTTAATTCCCAAGAAAATAATTAAAATTATTTAAAATGCATTTTACAGGTTATTTTCAAAAGTTCCTATAGAACACAGACATTGTGGTAGATTGTCATTATGGCATCAGTAAGTTAACTTAAACAAAGGACTTTCATTGGCTTTCAACCAGAGCTGCATAAATGAAAAATTGTTGTCTATATATATACCTATATATAATTCCTTTGATTTCTTTCTTTCTTTCTACTAATCACAGTTCCTCTGTCTGCCCAAAATGCAAACTTTTCCTCTACTATGTTTGTCCTATTCGAATTGTAATCATTCGATGGCTTACAAAAATGGTAGCATCTACGAAAGCATCTTTGATAAGAAGTTTGACTTGGATTGGTGGCTTTTACAACATATCAATCTTTTTTACTTTTTTTTTTTATTTCTTTGTTTTTTTTAATCATTTCACCACAAACAACTCAATAAAAGCCACTAAAACACAAGGGGTCACTGAATGTAAAAAGAATATGAGGAAAATCAAAACATTATTAAAGAAAAAGAACAACAAGAGAACACTATTTACATTATTTGGACTATTGTCCTCATTTTTGTAGCCATATTTATCACAACATTTTGGCCGTTGTATACTCCAGCCTTCTTCAGGTGGTTGGAATGTCAAACTGAACCCTTTATTTCACTCACTGGGCTAGACTGTTCTAGTTCCACATGCCATGTCTAATGGATGTCAGTTATCAGTTATCTCCTGTTAATTCACCTCTCTCCACTGCCTTAACCAGGTATTGAACTCACAACTCTTTGGGTCTTGTCACTGGATCTAACCAATGTCTTTATCCACTGAACCATTTATCCCAGTGAGTGAAATAAAGGGTTCAGTTCAACATTCCAACCACCTAAAGAAGGCCGGAGCATACAACAGCTGAAACGTGATAAATATGGCAACAAAGATGAAGACAATAGTTTGAATAATGTAAATAGCGTACATAATACCTCATCTCAGAAATATAGACTGAAAACAAGAGTATAATAAGGCACTTTTAGAGCCTTATTATAGGAATTAATATGTTCATCGAAAATCTTGTCATTTGCTGAATTTGTACTTATTCGTTTACTGATAGACAACGGTATATGTTTAATTATAGTTGTGGGGTGATTTGATTTAGGGTGTATATATAAAGGATTGGTGTTGGGTTTTTTATAAGGTGTGTATGTATTTTTTTTTCCTTAAAAAATATTTAAATATAAAATTTTTTAAAAATCGTAATATAAATATACTTGATATAGAAAAATAATTTTACTGACTGTAAGTAACTCTACATTTACTTCTATTAAATGAAATATAGTCTATAAAAACTAATGAAAATATTTTAAAGTTGTAATTAAATATTGTAGTTAATTAAAATGAATTCTAACCTAAACTTCTTTTAAATTGTAATTAAATAAATAAATAAAGTTTACTAAATCAGAGAAATGAAAATTTTACTTTAGTAATATTTAAATATAAAATTTTTAAAAATCGTAATATACTTGATGTGATAATAATTCTACAAACTGTAAGGGATTCTAATTACATTTAATTATTCTTGAAAGAAATATAGTATATTAAAAATTAAAAGTAAAAATATTTCTAATCGTAGTTAAATAAAAAGTATTCTTACCTAACCCCCACCCAAATCTTTAAATATACGAAGAAAAAAATGCTGTAAGAATTTTAGCCGTTAACAATATAACTTTAAAAAAAATTCAGATGACACACTTTTAACGGATGTTAGATTTCATTGAAAAATACATCCCTACCCACTACCAAAACGTAGCAATAACTGATACATTAAAATATAGACATGTTGAACACCCAGACACCCCTGTCTAGCAAAATAGATTTATCTGTAACCTTGGAACCATGAATTTTGTTTAAGCAGTGTATTTAAAACCCAGTAATTTTAAAAGTTACTCCAAAATTCGCTTGAGAATGAAATGGAACTAATGTCTTTAATTTAATTACAAAATTAAATTCGGGCTTTTAGCTTCCATTTTTGAAACATGGTTAGAACTGTGTAGCTTAAAAAAAACATATTTTAAATCAATTAATTTATAATATATATATATATATATATATATATATATATATATATATAGAGAGAGAGAGAGAGAGAGAGAGAGGGTGGGTTATTAAAAGTGTATAGCTGGTAATAATTTTTTCTTCAAAAATTTATAGCTGGTAATAATATTTTTACAAAGTATTTCTGCGATTAAAACCCGTTTTTACACTTTCATAGTGTTTTGACTCCAGTTTAAGGGGTTAACTATTTACCCATAGCTGGGACCCTAACAGTTGCTACCACCTCAGATCAAAGTGGAAGTTGGAACAAAAGCAATTAAGAGGTGGTTCCACATTCTTCAAAACCTCCTGATCAGTGGCCTTGCTGTCTGTTAGATGTAGTTTATCATCATACCCAGGACAGTTCATATATATATATATATATAGTCTGTTCTCATTGAGTTTATGTATCTTGCTTTGGGTTAAGAACAAAGAGGAATTTCCACTACTGAGTAAAAAGGCTATTTTATTACTATATTTTTTTACAACTACTTGTGTGAACTGGGATTTTCCAAATTAACACAAATTTCAAATTGTCTTGTGACCCTTCATTCGGTTGTGAAATAAATAAAATGGGTCATGACAAAAAAGAAAGAAAAAAATATGCAAGTGAGAGCAAATTGCCGAATATAAACAACTGTAGACATTTTACAGTGCTCATAAATTATCGCTAGTTTTTCACCGAAGTTCATATTATATTTTTTTTTTTTTAGATATAATTATATTATTTACACTA